TTCAAATGTAAATAGCAGCAATTAAATTTCTCATGTTAAAATTCATCAGGCTTACAGCCCCACCAACAAAGATATGTCTGCTTTTTCATGTGCACACAGACATTTCCAAGATGCACTTCAAGTCCTATCTCTGAAAGGCAGGAGGTGCCTTTTGCATTCACCCGCAGCCTGGCTGAAAACTCCTCTTGGCTCGGGCTGCCCTCCTCAGAGTAGTCCCGTAACCTCCCCTGCTTTTGTGTGCTTCAGGTAAGGCAGTGCTTTCCTTTTGGCTCTGAAATGTGGAAACACCAAGGCTGCTGACAAAGGTAAAACTGATTTTAACTTTCCACAAAGAACAAAAAGCCTATTAAAAAAAAAATAACAGAAAACAAAAAAACCAACGCTTTTCTCACCTCCTTTTATGCACAGTCTGTACTTGTGGCTTGGGGATCACCCTCTGTCACAGGTAAGTGTGAAACCTTGGATATGAGACTGTCACCAGCAACGTTTACCTATGTCAGTACTGAAAGTCCTTTCTTCAATCACCACATCCCTATTTTGCTGTATTCACTTTCAATTCCTGCTGCCAGAGCTGCTGTGTATGAAATGAATGGCTACTTGACTGAAAAAAAAAAGACCAAAAACCAAACAAAACCCCACCAAAAAGTCCCAACCTTTAACTAATTCCATCAATCTCTCATACTTTGTATCCAAGATCCTTGAACCCTCCTCTGCACTTTCTATGAGGACTTGAACTTTAGCCAGGTCGACCTGCCTGCCTGAAGCATGTTCCCAGCTCTTCAGCCACAAGGGCCCTCAAGGTGGAAGTTTAAAAGCCTCATCAAGCTTCCACATCTTTCACGTTTCTAGCAGGCTTGGTCTCCTCTCTCTCATCACCCGAGGAAGTATGCTGTCAGCCCTGCCCTCCCTTCACCCCAGTAGACTGGGGTGTGGTGGTAACCAGTTTTATTTATGAAACTTGTGAAAACAATGCTTACTACAAAAGCACATAATTAAAACCTTAACATGCCTACAACGTGGCATTCTGCGTTTTGATCAGCTTTATAGCTACTATAAATGCAAGGCAAAAGAAACACCTATGTAAAAACTTTAGGAGCAGCTAATGGATTTTCAGGTTTGAAAGGTTACTCCAAGTGATCCTGTATGTAGGGTCTCAGTGTTTGGCTTCTAGATCATTTGTCAGAGTTCAAGTATTTTCCAAGTCTGTAGCCCTTTTCCTGGTTGAACAAGTTGTCTCTGTAAATGCCAGGTAGACCTTGTGCTTTGAAGCCACACAAATGTTCACTTCAATCAACAGAACTTAAAACCCAACACTGAGATCTCTTCTTTCTCCGATATAGGTTTGCTTAATGCAGAGACAATTTTTTCTTTGCGATATGATTGTTTTCTCTTTTTGTTTTTAGGGTGCCTGGGCTTTGATCTAATTCAGTTGGAGGCACTGAAATAACATCTCTCAATTGCCCTGGCATTTACCCTGATATACGGAACTGCACTTGGACAATTTATTCTACTTCAGGAAATAAGCTGAAGGCTGTACTTAACGATTTTGTAACTGAGGATGCAATGGATTGCGTTTTGTATCATTTGAATGTTTATGATGGCCCGCATCTCTTCAAGACTTCTGGGTAGGTTGAACTTACACGTTCATTTACTATCTTCCTTTTCTGACCCCTTTTATTGAATAAGGTGACCAAATTGCCTTCAGTTGTGAGGCAGGGAGGAGGGCAACGCTATCTGATTAGTGCCTGCACAGCAGGGCCAGGTGGCAGCAGGTTTCCTGAGAGCTGTTGAGAGCAGCTCTTGTCACCCAGGCCTTCTTCAGTAGAAGTGGCTTGGACTCAGCAGCTCTTGACTTTTGGCATCATGGCTGTATCTGAGAGGACACTTCTATCAATTCTTCTTTTAAATCCTTTTTTCCTTAACCCTTTGTATCTTGGTATTTGTCTCACTTTGTGTCTGAAATAGTTTGAGCAGATGCTGCTGTGAGTACCAAAGCTGCCTCATGCCATATGGACATCAGGATTTTTGGGTACAGAAATGTTCACTGAAATGGCTTCATGCCTTCCTTGTTCTCCCACTGTCTCCTCTCTTTTTCCTTCTACGTATGTAGACATTTAGTGAACTGGTTATTGAAGTAATCTCAAGGAAGTACGAGAGATGCCCTTTCAAAGAGTATGAGAACAATTTGGCCATTGCACTGGGCTTTACCTCTTCAGCCTGGGTAGGGAATGACATTGCACAGGCAACTAGAGATGTACCTCCTGGAAGACCTCAAACAAATCCTGGCACCCTCGAATGCCTCTGAGTATCAAAAAGTTTGGATTAAAAAGTCTGTCCCTGGAAACAAGTGTAGGTGCTCTCTCTCAAATGACTTGGCAATGACTACAATTGAGTATTTCCTTCTTCCCCTCACCAGCAGACTTATGTGGCCAGAAAATGTCTTGTAGCGTGTTCTCCAGCAGCAGCTTCCTGACCCAGCATTTCAAAACTGATGAATCTGAGGGATCCCAGAGGCTTCAAAATCCTTCTTGAAGAGTTGTATCAGCAGCCAAGGCAGTGAGCTGGAAGGCAGCAGCCAGTGTAAGTAAGGATCTGGGTCTTTCCCTGCCTGTGCCACAAAGCAATCCTGTTGTTAAAATGGTATTGAAGGTCACAGGCAGGGACATTCATAATGTTTATTTGTTGAATGTGCTCCCCTGAAAGCTATTGTCTGAGATCACTTCAAGATACTCTTCTGTGCTCTGATGCATCCAAAACTGCAGCAAGCTAATTCAGTGTTCACCCCAGGCACTTCATGCTAGGTGGTAGTCCTCATATCTCTGCTGTTCTCACTGTCACTAAGCCAAATACACAAATGACCCTGAGGAATGACTGTTTATTTAAAGAATTTGGGGGGTTGACTCGTGTTTGTTTAAAAACAGATGCTTATTGGGATGAACCATTGGTCTCAGCATGCAACTGACCTCTGATTAATTAGTAACAACTGTCTGGAACCTGACAATATAAACAGGAAGCAGAATGCCAAACAGTTTAATCCTTCTCTGCTAACTTTTGCTTGAGAGCTTGGTTGCTCTTACTAGAGGGTTGTGCCTTTTCCTGGAGCACACAGAAGGGGGACAGAGGGAGGCTGTTATAAAAAGGTTGGTTCCCATCATGTGATCCGGAGTGCCACTAAAAGAGGGGAAATAGGAGATGTGTTGTATCTCAGCCTTTAAAAATCTCAGTAGGTTTCTCCCAGCCAATTCTACCAATGACAAGCTTTTAATGGACTTATTTATTGTTAAACCTTTTTTTGCCCTAGACTTAACTTCTGTATTACTGGTTTCTGAGGAAAGTAAATGCTATTCACTTCTACTTCTGTTTCTTTCCTTTCTCATGCTAACACCTCTTGTAGTCAGTGAAAACTGGTGGTGGTGAGATACAGGTTATTTATGCACTGTTTAATTTGCTGTTACTGGAGACAGTTGGGAACACTTTAGTTGAACCAGTTTTAGAAAATGGAGAGTTACTGTAATGGAAACACTTCATAAATGTAGTTTTGACTTAAAGAAAAAATGAGGGGGTCAGGAAATGCTTCTCAGCTGCAGAATGTGACTTCCTGAAAATCTGTGGAGAGCTGCTTACCCAGGACACATTGCCAGCCCATACGCATTTGGGACACTAAGGTTCAAATCCTTCCTCAACTGGTATTAGTGGAGGACTTCATTTTTTTTGTTATAGCATGTATGGACAACTTCTGGTCTTGTGAAGGGAAAATTAGAGCAAAGAATTCCTAACTCTCTCCAGTTCAGATGCTTCAATCCCACCAGTGGGCTATTGTGGAACCTTTGGTGGAACAGAACGATTCTGGTGCTTGTTTGGTGTTGGAGCATATTAGCTAACCTGGCTGTGACCAATTTTCTTTAACAAAAAACAAAAACCCCAACCAAAATATCCTTACTAACAGTGAGGAAATAATTCCAGAGAAATGTGAATTTCCAGTGGTGGATCTATTCCCTGTGCTGGAGCCTGCAATAAGCGCTGAATCGCTGATGGAGCCATGTGGGAAGCCCAGGACAGATGAAAGTGGCTGGTCAACCAGCCTGCAGTATGAGGTTCAACACTTCTGTGGAGGCTTTCTAGTTGATGAAAAATGGGTCCTGACAGTGGCACACTGCAACTTCAGGTGGGCAGTGTCCTCTTACCCTGAAGCATTGAGGGCTTGCTAGCCTCCAGACAGGACAATTTCTAAGCCATCTTCTCAGTCCTGGCAAATACAGATAGACTTACTGTTTCCCACATGTCTACATATATCCAGAGCTGCCCTCCAGCAGCTTAAGCTTTCCTGTGCAGTTTTCTGTGTTTCTAGTAATGGTGACAGATGAGATGGAGTATGGGCTTTGATGTGTACCTGATAATTAATGTATGCACACAGTCCTGGGAGAGTTTGTCCCCCCCCCCAAAAATTACTGATGCCTGTATTATGTCTCTTCCCCCTGCTTTATGTACTTACTGGCCTCAATAATCTTGAGGTACTACATGCTTCTGTTGAACCTTCATCTCTGTTGTATGTAGACACCCATGATGGTGGCATAGGTCTGGAATGTTTCATCAAATGAGTTGTACAGCCCAGATCTGTAGCTTCAATGTAAGCTCCACCTGTGTTGGTGTCTGGTTCCCGAGAAGGTGAGCGACTGACTCGCCTCTGGACTCCCTGTGTTAATCATAACAGCAGCTAACCTTTAGAGGTACAAGTCCAAGTTCTGTCAGCACAGCACAAAAAGCACTGATTCCTCAGCTGGGATTCCCAAAAGTGTCCCTGTCATGTAAGGTTATAAGTCTTGAAGCATGAGTGTTGCTTGGCAGCAAATGTTACAAGTGAACTTTGGACTTTTCCTGTTGTCTGAACTATGGGTTTTTTAGACTGAAAAATGTGTTTGCTTTCCTTCTTCCTTGCACAGCGCTCAGACAGAACAGTTCTGGGGAAAAATATACTTGTCAAAAGTGAAAGATGACAATCCCATGCCGTGCTCACAGGCTATGGCTTCGGTGGGTTTCCTTTCAGAAATGACTTGGCACTCCTGGTGCTGCAGAAACCCCTTGAGCCAGGTACTGCTTGGAGCCCGTTATATTCAACTGTGTTGGGGTTAATGATAAGACTCTGACACGGGGCACAGTGTTTAGTAGGTGTGTGGGGAGGCGGGTGGGAGGCCATTTGTGTATCTTACACACTAAGAGATGCTGAGATGAAAATGAACAGTGAGCCTTTGAACTGGCTTGTTTCCTATTACCTGGCTAAAACACTGCATGAGGTACAGGAATGCTTCTGCTGCTGATTCTGCTGTTGAATCAGGCTCCTCCAAGCGGACTTGCCTGTGACTTTAAGGTATAAAGTGTAGGCTAGACATGATCCTGACAATAGCAAAGATTGCCTATTCTACCTGTCTTCCTAACCTGCCGCAGCTGTACTATGACCATTGAAGTTAATGAGCCAAAAATAAGCATGCATGACCCAAGGGAGCTGTTCTTATTTTTTTTTTCACTATAAAGATCGGTGTGCACAGCACTAATATGATATGCACCTCTGTGCTGGTAGCAAAGTAATGTCTGAGATAGCAGAGGCTGAAATTTAAAGGAAAAGCTTTTCAGTTGCTGCTACTCTTTGTCTAAACCACAGAATATTCTTGTTAGAGGAATATTTTGCTGCAGCGTATAATTTAGATTTTACACAATGAAGTGCAAAGCTTGGGTAGAGCTGAAAGAAATTACTCCTCCTAGTTTTTTTACATGCAACTTGAGGGAAGGAAAGGGGAAGAACTGAAGACAAATGCTAAGCAATGGGGAAATGTGATCCAAATAGAGCCGGTGCACAAGAACAAAGCATGTGAATAAGGAAGCTATATAAGCATATGGATCTCACCATGTCCTGTTAATAGTATCCACAAAGAAAATGCCACAGTCCTTTCAAGAACTGCCTAACTACCTGCACTGGTGGTGGGAGGCTTGTGTGCTCAACGTCTGAGGTCCTGGGGCAATTGTCTTCCCTCAACGCCCTGGATCCATGCCTCTTTGGAGGGTCTCCTCTCTCATCTTCTTAGAAAAAGCCTTCAAAAGGTGTTCGTTTTGACTGTGCTGTGGCCTCACAGTGGTATTAGGAGAAAGCCTGATTTGACTCATTAAAACAGCACTCTCAGGCATCCAGAGAGTACAGTGAGGGAACATATACATTATTAAAGCTCTGTCTCATCTGCTTTGCAGTCTGGTGAAGGGATATCTGGGAGGAGGGGGAAGCGAAGCAGTGAGTTGAGAGGCAAGAAGAGCAGGGGGCTGACAGAAATAAGAGTAGGGAGGCTGTACCTGGCATCAATGGGAATTTACTTGCCAACAGAGTCAGTCCTGTGGCAACAACTTGCCCACCAGGCAGGAGGGAAGAAGCAAGCACTGCCACAAGATGCTTAGCAGCGGGATGGGGAGAGATGGGAGCTGGCAGGGAGCACCAGTTACTCCCACATGAAAGAGCACCTATGACCTGTCGAGGGCAGTGACAGCTCAGGCTGGGGGCTGTGCCAGGAGAGACTCCCCCCTCTCCCTAAATGTTGCCTGCAGTGTGGGAAACGCTTCCTAGATAGGAGCTCGGCAGCCTGTTCTGTCCAAAAGCTGCCACTGTGGGAAAGGCAAAAGCAAGGTGGAGGATAAGTGAACGGGAACAAATCCAAGGGAAATAGTGTCAATCTCATGGTGTCTCAATGCCTGGGACCTCTGGCCTGTGTCACCCCGCTGCTTGTCAGTGCGGTCAGATACCTTCTAGTGATAGGGTCTCCTTGGTGGCTGGGGAGGAGAAACTTCTTCCCCTCATCTTCAAGTTGAAGACAGCTCTATTCAAAATAGCCATGAACGTGGCTATTCCAGGAGATGTGGGGTAGGTGTGCCTGAATGCAGCTGGCACAGAGCTGGTCTGTGTCCCATCTGACTGGCCAGACTCTAGCACAGATAGCAGCAAGGCACACATGACTAGCTGGCTGGAGGTTAACCTGGGAAAGCTGGTGGGGTGGTGACTGACTCAGGGAGGCTGCCAGAAGGTTTCTGAGTCCTCACGCGTGCCCTGCAAGAGGCTTTTGCCCCTGGTAGCGTGCTGCCTTTTCTCTCTCTTAGGGGCTTGCCCCAACCCTTCTGGTCTTTTGGTGACCCCTGTGAGAGACAAGGGAGAGATGTATGGGGACTATATATCATGCACACTTCCCACTGGTGACTGCCACCCCATTACTGCTCCTTGGTTTCCCCTGCTGTACACCTCCCAGCTTTAGACAGCCCCGCTCCAGGCTCCACTGGCAGCAAAAGCCAAGGTGCCTCCACACAGCTATCCTCTCCTGCAGTATATGAAATACTGTTTTACGCAACATTGGATAGTGTTACGTGCAAAGGGAAGTAATCCCCAGGCTGGAGTCTGCCCCCAAAAGCACATGGATGGCCACAGGAGACTTGTGGGGCAGTTAATGCAAAGTGACTCCTATCTCTACAGCATCCTGGACACTGCTGCATTTCCCGGAGGAAGAACTGGCTGCCAGGCTCCAAGAAGCAGAGATCTCTCTCCTCTCCCACCAGGCCTGTGTGAAGTACTGGGGACAAGACATTGAAGAGGCCAAGGTCTGTGGAGGAGCTGTGGGGGCAGCTTTTTGCATGGTGTGTAACAGAGGGGGTGGGAATGCTGTGCTGCACACAACCAGGACCCAGAGCCATGCTTTCCCCTGGCTTCCTGGATGTGGATGCTTCTGACACTGTTGGCCATTGCAGGTCCTTGCTTTCTCCTTCTCTCCCCTTCCTCTTTTCCTTCTTTCAGGGAGACTCTGGGTGGCCATTGGTCTGTGTGGTTGATGGGCACTATAAGCTGGCTGGTATCACAAGCTGGGCCAGTGACAAGTGCCATCCAGAGTCTACACCAGGGTTTCTGCCTGTGGACACTGGATTTCAGCAGTCACAAACCAAGATGTTTGATTAACAAGTTACAAGGGGTTTTCAGGTTTTTGTGGAGTTTTCCTCAGTATAGAGGTTGTGATGTATTCTGGGTAAACGTTTGTCATTCAGGTCACCTTCCTGCAATCCCTTCCTCTTTGGAAGTTCAAATTCGAGCACTTGGTTTCAGAAATCCTCTTTTTGCTGCAGCAAAGCTTGTGGTGCTGTAGCACTGATACAAATTCAATTCCTGACAGGTGCCTATCCTTCAGTGTTTTGGGAGCATGTATAGCATTAAGTCCTTCACACAGCTGGTACACATCTGTCAAAATAAAATTGGTACCCCTTGTTCATCTCAGATAACCTGATTTACCAGAGGGAAGTAGCTGCTGCAGCAGCACGGGTAGCTAAAAAGGACTGCTTCAGCTGCAGTGTTACTTTGCTGGAAAGGAAGCAATCTGGAATTTAGTGTGATGGCTCATCCATTGTAAGTATACCTTCAGGTTTCAGAGCGATTTATCTATGCCAGGCTCTTAGCCTCGTCTCTCAGGTTAGGAAGGCCATACTGACACAATTCCATCTGCCAGAAGCTCAGGTTTTTGTTTGAAATGGAAGGATTTAAATATAGTTTCTTGGGGGAGGAAAAGGTGGTGTCTGACTTAACTAAAGCTCCCTATGTGCTGGTAGCTAAAATCTAGACTTGGAAGTGAAGAGTATTTGTGAAGAAGGGTTTTAATGCTTAGTCCTATCAGCATGTATCAGAGAATTACAAGCCAGGAAACCTCTATCTCCATCTGTCTCCTCTGGTATCAGCACTGTTGTGCACTACATATGCATCTGTCCTTTAAACAGAAGATAGCAGGCTCTTTTCCATCTCTGTGCTGTATATTGCCGTCCACTTAAATATGGAAATACAAACATAAGAGTATTTGTGATGAAACAGCTTGATGGCTGTTGTTTAGCCAAGTGAACTTGGCAACTATCTGCTGCTAAAATGGCTGAAGCACTACAGCCTGCCCTTACACCATGTCATTCAGGTACAATAGTTTAATAATTCAACAGTTGCACACATGATCTTTTCACTTACCAAATACCAGACTCTCTGTTGTTTAAAAGAAATGCTTCTCTCTCCTATCCCCAACCCATGCTGCTTTTGGAAAGAAAACCTCATATTCTAGCACAATTCAGAAAATATAAGTCGATCTTTACAAAAATAATAGTTCCCCTGAACTACTGGAGCTGTAAATTGTGGTATTTTGTCAGGCTGCTGTTGCTGATGACTGGCTTGTTGTGTTATAACTAACTTTAAAAAATTGTTCTGCCATCATGACAGCAAATATGTTGTTGGTGTTGGCTCAAAGATGTGATTTCCCCAATGTGTCTTCAGCTGTGCAAATAGAGCAGCTTAGGGTTTGTAATTCAGTGCTGTATCACAGACCAGGGAGGCTTCCTACTGTGAAAATGTGGGTGCCATTAGGTCAATAACCTGCTCACTGAAACCTTCGGAGGTGTGGGGACAGGATAGGTCATGATGCCTGCTCTCGGTGGCAGGGAGCTAGGGAGAAGGAAACCTGTTCCCAGGACTCCTGACATGCTAGTAACAACTTCTTACATCTGGAAAGAGGTTGTGCTGTCCAGTGAAGTGACGGCCTCATCCCAGGCATGGTCCTGCCCATGCCCTGGGAGATTGGAAGAGCTGCAGGGTGAAACCAGCTCTGGGGCACTGTGGTAGTTGCTACTTGTTCTGTTGCTGCTTGTGGTAGCAACAGAAACTCCTGGCATGCCATACTGTATTTTGTACCTTAAATTTAAATGGTAGAAGAGTGTTGGAAAGCTTCTGGTAAAGATGAAGAGAAGCAATTAATATTCACCTGGACATTTTTTCTTTATTGACCTAGAAATGGACAGCCAGGTACTAAGGGGTGTAACTACTGACCTGGTAAGGAAAGTGTCACCACATAAAATAATCTGGATTTCCAGTGCAGAGCTAGAAGTGAAATGAACATGTAGGGTAGATGCTGTTTGTGCCATCCCTCAAGATCTGGTACACGGTCTCCTTTTGGACCATCCCATCCAGAGGGACCTTGACAGGCTTGAGAGGTGGACCCATGCAAACCTCATGAAGTTCAACCAGGCCAAGTGCAAAGTCCTGCACACGGGTCAGGGAAATCCCAAACACAAATACAGGCTGGGCAGAGAACGGTTTGAGATCAGCCCTGAGGAGAAGGACTTGGGAGTGTCGGTTGATGAAAAGCTCAACATGAGGCAACGATGTGTGCTGGCAGCCCAGAAAGCCAACACTCTCCTGGGCTGCATCAAAAGAAACAGGACTAGCAGGTTGAGAGAGGTGATTCTACTCCACTGTTCTGCTCTGGTGAGACCCCACCTGGAGTACTGTGTCCAGCTCTGGGACCTCCAACGTGAGAATGACATGGAGTTGTTGGAAGAAGTCCAGAGGAGGGTCATGAAGGTGATCAGAGAGGATCAGGAGCACCTCTCCTGTGAAGACAGGCTTGAGAGAGTTGGGGTTGTTCAGCCTGGAGAAGAGAAGGCTTTGGAGAGGCCTTGCAGTGGCAGGGTAGTTTTAGATTAGTTATTAGGAAGAATTTCTTTACTGTGAGGGTGGTAAAGCACTGGAACAGGTCGCCCAGAGAAGTTGTGGATGACCCATCCCTGGAAGTGTTCAGGGCCAGGCTGGATGGGGCTTTGAGCAACCTGATCTAGTGGAGGTGTCCCTGCCCATGGCAGGGGGGTTGGAACTAGATGATCTTCAAGGTCCCTTGCAACTCTAACCATTCTGTGATCTGCTTGGTAAGAGGAGACCTCACCAGGGTGAGGTGCAGCTCTTTGCATAGAGGAGTTTTCCCTCTGCCCCTTTTTAGAAGCAAGCCTGTCTCTCATATTATGAATATACCCACTGCAGGAAAAGGAACAGCAGAACCAAGAATTATTTACACCTTTTGCAGGAAGAGGCACTGAGATGCTGAAGAAGGAGGCATAGATGGTGGGGGAAAGTGGAGTTGCATAATTAGAGCATGACAAGTAATTCCCAAAAGCTTGGACCCTAATGAGCTCTTTCCTCTAGTTCTAGACTTGTTTGAAGCAAGAGCAGATCATAAATTAATCTACACAGCATTGCTTTTTGGAGGAATAGCTCTGCTCTCCAGGAGAGTGGCTTTACCACGCTGCAAACGTTATTCTCGATTCAGCCCTTCAGAAATAGCTCGTGCGCACATCCCACAGCACTGATGTTTTTTCTGCTTAAAGAAGACAAGTGTATACTGCACCAGTTATAACTCTTCTATGCCATTTGACTCTATTGGCACCAGAGGAATTCAAAATGAGGATGAAGTTCTCCTGACCACCGTCTCCTCCACCTGCCCAAGGTGCAGTTCAAGATAAGCTTCTCTTTCTGTGGGCTCTGGGGTTTGTATATGAAGGTCTGGAGGGAGAGCGGGGGCTCCTGCCTGGCAGTAGCTGGATGTGCTTGAACGCTGTGTGCGAGGTTTTTTTTTATGGCATCAGATATGGGACTATGAAATCCCAAATAGGCTCCTCATTAAAATTTCTCAAGTAACTAGGAACACAGCATGTCCTGACGCTGCTAGAAATGTTTTGCTATTAGCAGTTACTGCACGAAGCTGATTGTCCTATCAAAGAGGCATGTTCTGCTTAATTGCAATGGAGATGTTATCCTGGTTCACTGTTCTCACTTTGTGGATTTTTTTTCTCTTTGCTTAAAAGTAGCTTCACAAGAAACTACAAGCTGCTGACTTTATAAGCAGGGTTCTTTTAAATTTTAGCAACTGCTGGATTAACATGAGTGGCATGAAGTTTGTTTTTTTTTTTAATGAAAAAAAACCCCACAAACAAAATCAAATTTTTGAATACTTTTTCCCTGGAATAGCTCTGCTTAATGATGAGGCTCCTTTTAATGCTCTAAGTAGCCTGTCATATTTGTATATGGGCTGCAAGACCTTCAAGAAGAATCTGTAACATTTGACATAACTAAAATTTATGAACTCAAAAGCAAATCAGTATACCCTTGAGTAAAAATAACCTGAACTGGCTGGACATCGCGTTTTAGCATCTATATTTCCTTGGAAGAGCCAGTTCTTTGTGTGTATGTTTTCTTTGGATACAGAATGAATGCACCCATACATAAATAAGTATCAGTTACTATTTTTCCTCTCAGTATACATACAGGATTTGATCTATGCTTGCTGCACTTTCTGCTTTCCCTTCATCTAGTGGCACCATTTATACAATCGCTGCTTTTCTGATTAAAGTGCCTGACTACAAGCTGAAAGTTTGACACAAGACAGCCAACACTTTTTAATTACCTTTAGCTCAGCTCGAGCCGTGGCACATCTCTTTGAATGCAGCTGACTTGCAACAAAGTCTGGGAGAAAACGGTGCACTTTTTATTTATGCTTTTTCTCTGGCAAAATTGCTCTGTGAATTTTTATTGCCTAATGGTTTCTCTGATACCTTTTAAAACTGTTGAGCTCTTCACCAAGAGACTATTTTATATGAGACTTGGGCCAGTAAACCATTTCTGTGATCTGGGAGGTGCTATCCTTCCTTCATAGAGCAATCCATTTTGAAATTAGCTGGGCCTGCCTGCTCAAGAAGAACTCACAGATGCTTGGCTGCTGGTCCTGAATGGACCTATTAAATGCTATATTTCTGTTAAAAAAAGCAGCAAAAAATCTATTGCTGACTAGCAGGTCCTGAAATTCATGTGTATCAAGGGTAGCATAAATAGTTTCAGTGTGTGATTTTTTGAGAGAATAGTGGTCTCTGGCTTAGTAAATACTAACTTCTATCCAGTCTATTGAAAAAGGTGATTATATAAGGTAGAAATCAGCTGGGGCTTCAGCAGAGCCGGGAAGAGCTGGTTTCTCTTCTATCCAAAATTACTTCTGAAATTGACAGCACCTAGTGATATGGCTGTTAATTGACTTGTCCTCTATTAAGCTACGTCCAGCCTCGCTTACCTTCTCCTGTGTGATTCGTGACCTTCTCCTGTGTGAAGCATG